TTGATATGCCGTTGTAAATGGCTTGATGGAAAGCAGGTGTGTAGTCGGGGAGGGTGCACAGCTGATTGCAGCAGGTGAGTGGAGGTTGAGCCGGGAGCCAGGAGTGACAGCCACCACGCCCACACAAACAGGGGGAAACAAACAAACACAAAGGAGACGGCTGGAGCAGTACAGCCACCACAGCGTTACCTAATGCAATGTCTTACGGTGCCATGTACCGGAGGGGAGAGAGAGCAGCGAAGGGGGGGAGAGAGAAGTAATACGGTTTCCTGATAAAGCTGTGGAGAGTATGTGCTGCAGGGAGGTGGATGCACAATGCACCCAGGAACGAACGCTAGCTCCGGTCCTTTTTACTGTGGACTCGATGTTCTGACAGGCTGGTATTTGTGCAACCTGCACAAACATAATACTGCACCATGATTACAAATGGTGAAATACAATGTAAAACTACCGAAAAATACCAGCTCCTTAAAACACAACCGCTCTACTCAACGCAACTACTATACCCGCGGTCAGAGAGCGGAGATGTTTCCCCTGCGTGATGTAATATGATGCGTTTGACATATGACCTTAAAAAAAGCCGTTTTTAAGAGCAGAGCTCAAAATTGCTCCTTTCCCTCTGAATTCCTGCCCTTATGTCTCGTAAAACATATCAAATCCTGCATTCACTTTTTTAATTGTAATTTTCAAGCAAGTTTAAGCATAAATGTAGAATAAATAAAAACCTGCAAGATGCTCTTTAAGTATAATATATAACACGCTTTTTCAAATTGAAGATGTTATTAAACATATTTTAAATACCATCGGCTTAATGTCACCTATTCCAGGGAGGGAGGGAGGATAGAGAGAGAGCGAGAGCGAGCATCGGAACTTCACAGTCTAATCTCCAACCTGATATTTTCCTTTTCTATTCAATCAATATATTTTTGCGCAAACTGCAGTAGATATATATTAATTTATTGGACGAAAAAAAAAAGCACCCCATAAAAAGGGCACTTTCGCTGGAGGAAGAAAAAGGGCAGGGGCTCAAGCCCACTTTGATGTCTGTGTGCACGTGCCTGCTTATGCTTGTACATACTCGTAAAAGCCATGTTTCAAGTCTTAAAAGAGTAAATATGTTGTAAAATAAACATGAAATCAATCAAAGTTCCTTTTTGAAGCTTGGGTATGTTATGGTTGTTTCTGGTGTTTAGGTGGTGTTGGACCTGTGGGAACACCTGGAGATGTGCAAAGAAGGTCAGATGTCGTGGCTCAGCAGACAGCTGGATGAATCCGACTTCATCATCACCATCTGCTCCAAAGGCCTACGGTACTTTTTTTCCTTTTTTACTGTCTGCTGTGTTATTATTTTTAACAGCACTTTTGATGATTTCATCTGGAGTGCAGTTCGTCTAGTGTCCACTAGCGGCTGCTAAAACGATTTAAGATTGAGATACAGCTTTATTGATTCCCATCGGGAACATGTGGTTGCTGCAGCTAAATAAGGACAGAAATAATTACAGATAAATAGAAAAATAAATGTATAATGGACGGTATATGACCCAAAATAACGATAAGAAGAAAAATGATATGCTCTGTTCAACAAAATGTTTTTTTGTCACTCATAATAGAAAATAAATACAGTTTAAGAGGATTATTTTGAACATTGCTTAATTGTTAAGGTCGTTTTTTTTCCTCAAAATTGTCAAAGGAAATGCGATTATCAGCCTCTGAAACATGGAGATTTCCTGCTTTTCTCTGTAAAATATGAAAGAGTTATTATAACTATAGATATGCACAGACAACACCTAGGACTATAGGTTGTGAAGGACAATTTTCACTTGTTTTATAAATCAAACGATTAATCAATCTAATCTAGATTTGCAGATTAATCAATAAAGATATTAATAGTTAATTGCTGCTTTATTTCCTTCCTGCAGCTACTACGTGGAGAAGAAGAGCCGCAGAGGGAAGACGCCAGTCGGTCGCCGCAGTAACAGCTGCAGCAGCAGCAGCTCCCCAATTGGTGGATCAGGAAGTGACCTGTTCATTGTGGGCGTTGCCATGATCGCTGAGAAGCTGCGATTGGCGAATCAAAGTGAAGGGGCCGGATCTCAGGAGCTGCAGCGCTACATGACGGTTTACTTCGACTACTCCACGGAAAACGACATCCCCACCATGCTGAGCCTGGCCCCAAGGTACACACAACTCTGTGGCAAAATTACAGAAACAGCAGATCCTACTATGTACACATGGCCAATTTTTACAGCTTTCAATTTATCTGGAACATAATAATAATAAATATGATTAATATCACGTTGATCGTTAGTTGCAGCCATAGAGAAAACGCATTTCTAAACACATTAATTAAGGGAATAGAAACAAAGAAAGTTGCAGTAAAACATACAGAGGTTCTTCTAAAGTAAATTAGAAAGAGATATGGGTATTAAAGGTGGGGTAGGTAAGTTTGAGAAACCGGCTCCAGATACACTTTTTGTTATATTCCATGGAATGCTCTTAACATCCCGATAGCAATGAATATCTTAAGTGCTTTGACAAAAAAATCCATAAAAAAATCAATCCGTGGAAGCCGTAGTACTGTAAAAAGTACGACCAATCATCTAAGCCGGGCCGGCTAAAATAACTGGATGGCCTACCTGCCTGTTAGCCTTCCATCTGTGCACAAACTTATCTCGTGCCCTCATTGGTCATGTGCGCGTTCGTGTGTGTTGGAGGAGCGGCTCTGTAAGGAAGTAGCAGATTTTTTCCGGTTGTGTATTTTCAAATTCTAGTGCACTCGAGCCGGTTTCTCCAAAATTACCTACCCCACCTTTAAGTCGAACAAAAAATTATCTTTATTTTGTTTAAAAATAAATGTGTTTTGATGCCGGTTTCTTATACAGTATGCCATAATCCCAGCCACACTGAACCCCAAGAGTGGGGGGGGAAAGAAAAAAATATAGTAACATGGTATAAAGAATGAAATGAACAACTGCGGAAGATCAAAATGTATTTATTTAAACATATTTATTACATTTTGGAATTTATTTACTGAGCCATGTGTGGTATATTTGAGCTTGGCATGACAATAAAAAAAAATTAGGGCTGTCAAACGATTACAATTTTTAATCAGATTAATCACAGCTTAAAAATGAATTAATCATGATTAATCACCATTCGAGCTATGTCCA